AGCTCTGATAGGTCTGGGCTAGGTTGTAACGGTGAGGGAAAGGAAATTCAGCCTTGCTCTTGTTTTAAGTTATTCCGTAAGATGTGATGCATGGATATCGAATACTAAAATATCATTGTTTTCTCCTTGCTCGTTTTTAAAAATGAAACATTTTCATTTTTTAGAATCTGTATTATAATCATAAAAACACTAGTTTTACTGATTTATTATATTTCTCTAAGTTTCATTTTGGAAGTTAAAATACCCCTACACTGGAATTTTGTTGAATACACTCTTAATTGTACCATTCTTTTAATGATTAACAAGCAATATTGGTCTCTTAGGGTTCACTAGTACGCAGAGATGTTCAGACCTGCTTAACTGTCAGTGCCAAATCACTGTTTCCGTTTGAAAATCTATGATGAATACTTATTGGTAATATTATATTCCATATGACTTGACAGTAGTCAAAGTCTATTTTATGGTTCATGCCGGTTAAACTCTATTTTAATTTAAAATTGGAAGAGAAATAGAGAGGCAGTTTTACCTAGGTGAGGCAGGGCATAAACTGTCTTCCTCTGGCATTTCTCTGACAAACAGCATGTTCTTGTGATAGCCAGCTTCCTCCTGCCAGCATCCTCTGCTCTTCCCCACTGCCTGCACCCTTCGTAGGCCTGGCGCTTGCTGTTCTCACTACCTGAAATGCTGTCTCCCTCGCTGTTTTCACTGAGAATTGAGCTTCAGTGCCGCTTTCCCTGGCATACCATCAAAGTAAATCCTCCATTATTTTCTATAAAACCATCCTGTGTGATTTTTCTTTTTCCTCTCAGCATGTATCTTAGCTTTTAATTATTTTTATTTATTTAGTTGCTTACTATATGTCTCCCTGCTAAAAACTAATACCATGAGAATAGACCTTGGAGATTAGTTTACTTCTTGTTACTAGGTACTCAGTAAATAGTTTCTGAGTGAAATACAGTCAATTATATTAGAACTTAAAATGCGTATAACCATCTTTATTGAAAAGTTTTTTAAAAATAGACTATACTTTTCTGCTTACCAAGCACAATGCAGTATTACACTAATCGTTACAATTATAATATTTTTACTATACTGTGATAAAATTATGCCATTAAGATCTTTTATATGACCTCAGGTTATAGCACTGTTGATTTTTAGCCCTTTGAAAATATGTATTTTAATCACAATAACATTATGTGCTCCTTGTTAATGAAAAAGAACAACTTAGTGTGAAATGAAGAATTGTAGCCTCTCCCGCTCGCACTTACCTGTTTGCAGATTTGTGGGCCGGGGCGATGACTTCTTTTTTTTTAATGTTCTCCTGCTGCTTATTTCCTGTCTCCGAATGCTGTTCTTACAACATTTCATTACATGAACTTGATCTTTATCTGAAGTTTTGCTGTGAGAGGTAAACATTTCTCTCTTCTCCCCCGACGTGATTTATGTTGCTTTCGTTGTTTTGTTTGTCATTCTGACAGTAAATAGTGGCCTGGTATTTCTTTTACCTTAACTAGATTTTTCTTCTTGACTCTCTAGTTTGTGACGTGAAGATTAGCAAGCACACTCTTCCCTATTCCCTCTCCTCCTTCCGTGGAGCTGTGCGTCCGTTGTGGTAGTAGGTAGCACTTACGTTCTATAGATTGTTGTAGCAGATAGCACATACATTCTGTACGTGAATCGTAATTACGTTACTATTCTCTGTGTACTGGTTGATGTAGAAAATTGAAAAGTAGTTAACAGCATTCACATGGTCATTTCCGCATACGTGCCGTCCATTGCAAAACAGCCCATTATAATTCTCCCGAGCCCTTGTCTCTGACCCCTTCCCCACTTAATGCTGAAGGAGGTTAACCTTAGGACCAGCTCATCAAAAATTACGATACGTTTCCATTTATTACCTATTTGGACCTTGCCTCTTTCATTCATTGTGTTGTTTTTCCTGTTATGGGAGCACATGTATCTCATTTAACTGTGTTTTTGATGCCTTTCAGCTCTTTCTGATTTTAACAATTTCTTAGAATCTATCCTCTTTTTTTTGGAGAGGTTTTTTTTTTTTTTTTTTTTTTTTTTTTTTTGGGGTTTTTTTTTTTTTTTTTTTTTTTTTTCTATACGATGCATGTGCTCGCCAGGAATACAGAGAGAGACAGAAAGCGAGAAATCACCCCCCAACACATGGGGGATGGCCACGCTGCAATCCTGTTCTCCTCTTGGGATCTTGGGCACTCACGCACATGTGCCCGGCGTGAGTTTTAAGCTACCAGGTCCGGGACTCAAACCGCGGTTGACTACATAGCCATTACACCAACTGCTGGTCCCAGAGTCAATCATCTAAATCCTGAAGTCCGGTTTAGTATGATCTCCTCCACACTGCCTGCACCCCACCTTCACATCAGGCCACAGGGCCTGCACCCCGCCTTCACAGTCAGGCTGCTGCTTCTTTCTCGCTTCATCCACGATTTGTCCCTTGCTGCACTTTCATCTTTTCTCTCCCTGATCGCGATTCTACTGTGGTCTCAAGTGTTCTCACTTTTCAGACTACCTTTTTTATAATTTATATCCTCATTTCCTAAAATGCATGAGAATTAAGAGTTCAGATTCCTTACATTTCTGAAAGCATGTTTATTTCCAACTCAGATGATTTTGGCTCAACATAGAATGGGAAACAGAAAATAACATCCCCTCAAAACTCGCAAAGAAATTGTCCTGTCTGAAATTTTCCAGTCTGCCGGTACCTGGTGTTGCTAATGACCAGTTTGGTCCCAGTCCCATCGTTGCCCTTGTTACAGACTTTCAATTTTATGAAAATGTTTAGGATCGTCTTTTTGTATATTGTGTTCTGAGATACCACAGTAATTCTCAGCGTTGTTGTTCTTGTTGTTTCATTCAAAACCTGGGAAATAATTTGAATTTGAAGGTACTGTCTCCTTTAATCGTATTGTTGCTAGAAATACAATTTTCTCAGTTTTATCCCTTTTCTTTCTGGGTCTCCTGTTTGAAAGTTGAACTGTATCTCTAGGTTTCTCAGGTTTCTTCCCCACAACTTCCCCCCATGCCCACCAATGTGGGTTTTTTGGTGGATTTTATTTCACAATATCTTTAGTATTGGTGTTTTATTTGAGCAATCATGTATTAAGTTTATGATTGTTTTCTCTTGTACTTTCTTTGTTCCTTATATGATACACCCGTGTATGTGTGTGTGTGTGTGTGTGTGTGTGTGTGTGTGTGTGTATGTGTGTGAGAGAGAGAGAGAGAGAGAGAACGAATGCTGTTGACTGAAGCAGTCTGTCATGGACCCTGAGTTTCCTGCCTGTTCTTACTGGATATGCCAAGACCAGCGGCCTGATTGCTCTTCAGCAAGGCAGTTTCTCAGGGCTTGTGCACAGTAAAAGCCTTAGGCAGGAAGATGTCTTGTACCAAACAAAGCAAAGGCTTGTTCCTGCTTGCTGTGAAAACCAGCCCCCTCTCCTGCAGCAGAGTCAGCTATGTTGCGAGCTTCCACCAAAGGGTCTTTGTGTGACCCTGTAAGGCTTTAGGGCACGGGGACTGGTGCAAATGAAAGTAAAATCACAATGTCCTTTGTCTAGCCCAGAGTCTCCTGTCTTCCACCAGCGTTCATGAGAGTAGCAGGCTAATTTGTGAACTTGAGACAGGATCACAGAAGTATCCTAATGAATTTTTCTTTTTAGAGTTTTTGACCCCTCATGTTTGCTTTTGGGGGGAAGCATTTAAATGTCAAATTAAATCATGTCAAGTCATTCTCAAGTGATTTTTAAAAAAAAAATTAGACTGCTTATTAAGCAGTGGAAAGGCTGCCATCGGGACTGGCTGGGGAGACAGAAGTGAGGGTCTGCTGTTCCGTACAGAGTTGAAGTAGTACCCTTAACCATAGCTCCGTTTCTTAACTCCGGACCCTGCTGCTTCTGAATTCAGTGTTTCCTAGCTCCCGACTGCGCCACAGTCTCCTTTGAGAGTGTAGCTTCCTCAATCAAAACTTTTACCTGCTGTCTGTTTTCCAGATAGTTCTTGAGATCTCTTATCTGGTGCTAACTCTATTACAGGTCTTTTTGTTATTGTGGAGTACTCCCTTTTTATTTCTTCCATGTTTGGAGGAGAAGGGATGTGAATCTGAGAGTAGTCAACTATCAGCAAATGGAAGAAGCAACTCCGTTAGTGCTTTCAGTGTTTCCGCAGTCACTTGCTTCTCGTTTCTGTTACTGTGCTTACATCCTTTGGGCAATGCCATTTCCTGTGTCTGTTTCTCTCTGCATCTAAAAATAAAGCTTTATCATCTGAAAATTTAGCAAAATGTCCAATAAAAATGGATTCAAATTAGGAGCGAAGATTAGAGAAAGGTTGGTTTATAGCATCTCTTTTAGCAACTCAGAGAAATTTTTGCTTACTTATATGTTTGAGTGTAAATGCACTTTTAAATAAATGGAATACATAAAAGTACAGTATAACTATTTATAATTTAAAAACATTTTCTCATGATTTCTGTTTTTCTGCTAAACTGAATTGCAAATATTTTTAAAAAGATACTCTATGTCTCTTATTAAGAATTCTTGAAAGATTTATATATAGGAGATGCCAGAAAATGTTTTTATCCCTTACATCAAGAGTTGGCAGACTTTTTAGTTAAAGGACCAAACCCAGCTTGTGGCCCATATGTTTGCTGTTAGTTAGTTAGAACCACTCAGCTTTGCTTTTCTACGCATAGCAATATGTAAATGAATCAGTGTAGCTCTCTTACAATAAGACTATATATGGATATAGGCACCAAAATTTGAATTTTTCATAATTCTCACATTATGGAACATTTCTTTCTCTTTTACTTTTTTTTTAATCATTTTAAATATTAAAGAATAAAATACAACTAGTCTTGTCTTACAGTTTATACAAAAAACTGACAAATACTTGCCCTAGAATTACCTACTTAATTAATGGCTTTGGTAATGCTTCACTATTGATATGTTTCTGTTCTCCCCCACTGTCTTTATCAGGCAAGCAAATGAAGAGTATCAAATACTGGCTAACTCCTGGCGCTATTCATCTGCTTTTTGTAACAAGCTCTTCTTCAGTATGGTGGACTACGATGAAGGAACAGATGTTTTTCAACAGGTAAAGGAGTTATATGTTATTTTGGTAATGTGTTTAAAAGAGTTTGTTATGGTTGACACATTTTTGTTTGCCAGGTAAAAATACAGTTGAGTGAATAAGTTAATAAATAAATGTAAGAAGTAGTTATAGTAGAGTCTGTGATAGAATGGAAATTGTACAGCTTTTGCAATTTGGGACTACCATAAACACATACCGACTTGTACTATAGAGGTATGTTTTTTTCAGTATGTAATTTGCATGTATTAGTCTTATTTTGGTATTTAATTACATGTGATTTATTTTGCAGAGATCTGTGACATTATATTAGGTCATCGGGAAAGTCATGACATATTTTTCTACATTTTTTCTATGGAAAAATGTGTCGTGACTTTCCTGATGACCTAATACTAAAATTTATTGTAAGTTTGTAACCTTCATTTCTTCCAGTATAGCAGATATTTCATATGTAGAATATTAAACACTTATTTTAAAATGTTTCCTATTACTGGTTGAATTGTGCCTCCCCCTCCCCAAATTAACACATTGAAGGTGTAACACCCAGTGTGACTATATGCGGAACTGTGACCCTTAAGGAGGTAATAAAGGGTGAATGAGGTCATAGTGTTAGACTCTAATCCCATTAGGATCAATGTCTTTATAAGAAGAGGCAGAGACACCGGGATTACATGTGTACAGAGTAAAGGTCATGTGGGGATATAGCTTAGAAGATGGCCAGGGGAAAGAAAGGGAGAGGACCAACCAGCAGTTACGGGAGCTGACCTCACATGCCGACCACAGTTTGAATCCTGTCTTTGACAGCTTGAAAAACATGCCAGGTATGTATGCATGCCCCGAGTCCTGATGAGAGGAGGAATGGAGGAAAAGGATTGTAGCATGACCATGCCTCACTTCATTGTGAGTGTTTTCTCTTGCTCTGTTGTCTTTCTCTCTCTCTCTCTCTTTGGTGAGTCTACTCATCCTTTGGCATATATTAAAAACAACTCAGTGAGAAGCTCTCCAGAAACTAAGTCTCATCTTAGATTTTGGATTTTCTAAAAGTGTAAGAAAATAAAATTTGTGGCTTAAGCTACCTACTCTGGAATTTCCTATTCTACCAACTTGAGCATATCAATAGACTCTCATTTGCACAGTCCTCCTTTTAGTCTGTCATTGAGTCCTTCCCTTCCAGGCAGTTTTAAGTGCTTTCTGTGTATTCGCCCATTTAGCTTCACCATGATACAGGGAGAGAGAGACTGCTGTTTTCTCCATTATACAGAAGAGCACGTTAAGGTGTGGAGAAGTGGACCAAGATTACAAAGTTAGTGTATCGTGTGGCTACAATTTGAACCTAACTGTTTGACTTACAGAGCTTTAGCTCTTAATCATGCTGTTATCTAGTACCTATTAATATTTTTATATTTTCACTACTGGATCATTCCCTTCAAATACAAATCTTACTGTAGTGCCCACCACTGATTGGTTTGGGTGTCTTGGCTGAACACATTTTCTTTTCTTTTTTACACATTTGATACATTTTGGCATAAGGCTCTACCAGGTTGTGGAAAAGCATTTAGGTTCTGTAAGGAATTTAGCCTACTTACTGTAAATAGGCCATTAGTGAGTATTTTCATTTAATTTCTTCTAGATTGATTATTTATTACTTATTTGTGGGTTCTGATTGAGATAAAGTTTTTCTTTTTGCTTCCATTACCCTTTTTCTGTTAGTATCCTTTGCTTTTCTTTCTTCCCACCCACTCCCCCCCAAAATATTCTGCCTCCTTAAGCTATTTACAAATGCTTCTGTGTATTCAGCCATTTAGCAAATATTGAGTATTTATAAGAGTAGTAAATGGGTGAGAAAAATATACATAGTTCTTCCCTATAATCAGTTTACAGATTAGGGAACTAACAATAATAGTAATAATCATCATAATAAAGAAAACACATAAGTAAATAATTCTAAAACTTATAAAACAAAATTGCATTACTGTAAGAACCATTATTTCATGTAACTTATAGGTCTCTATGGAATCCCAAGAAAATTGGCCTTAGAGATCATTGGATGGAAATGCTATTTACTATGTATTTGAATTGTCTCTGTCATGGTCTTCTAAGTCCAACTTGATTGCTAGATCTGAGGCTTTAAAGCTCATCTACTCTGGCTAGGGCTTTAAACAAGTGAAAGGAACAGGTGGGTTAGTTGAGTTTCATTATGTTATCTTTGTTTATACACATATGTAGAAAATGAAACGTTCTTTCTTCACTTTTGCAAAGCAATAGACTTTTCTTGTTCTTATTAAAACAAAGTCTTTTTTGGTCTGTCTTTTTATAAATAAACCTTTAATAGAAACACTCATGGGGATCAGCAGTTAATGTAATGGCTGTGTCGCTGGACTCCCATATAGTCGACCGCAGTTCGCGTTCCGGACCCGGTGGCTTAAAACTTACACCAGGCGCGTGTGCGTGCATGCCCAAGATCCCGAGAGGAGAATGGAGGAGAAGGGATTGCGGCGTGACCATCCCCCTCTGGAGGGTGATTTCTTGCTTTCTGTCTCTCTGTCTTTCTGGCGAGCGCACATGCCATATAGCAAAAACCTCTCCAAAAAAAAAAAAAAAAGAAACACTCATATTTCACTTTACTCCTTACTACTATAAGAAATAAAATTGGTAGCCCCCCACATCTGGCCGTTGGTGCTCTTACTAGGGAAGTGGTATGGTGGATCTGGACTGCAGCAACAGGAGAGGTTGTTCCTGGCCTAAGAGGGAGAGCTCTAGCTCAGTTGTCTACCTTTAAAATGCTGGCAGTTAATTTGCATTCGAAAAAAACAACTAGGGGACAAACTAATCCTACCATTGTGTTGCACAGTAACTGTAATTTGCTAGAATATAGATTATATAGATACAGAATTAGACATACTGTTGAATTTTTTTTTTACATTTTAAACATAATTTTACAAAAACATTTGGCGTTGATATGAGAGTTGAAACCAAGATTGTTTTTAATTAAAAAATTTCCTCAGGTTAATTTGGATTCAGCAGAATTCCTAATGTGAGTTTGCTTTGTATTTTCTAAAACCTAGCCGCTGGCTTAGCAATAAGGGTTTTTATTTTAAAATGCAAAAATGTATAAAAGTTATTGCAGTTAATGATTTTTACAAGGAATTGTAATTTACAAAAATGGAAAAAATTTCGCTTCAGTGGAGAACTGCTAAAATTTTTTAGTGCTTGTGTTTTCCACTAAATACTGAATCATATTTTGTTAAAGAATTCTTTCTAAATTGATGTGTTAGAACACTCTCAGCAGTCATATGGTGTCTGAGAGTAATATTCATAACAAATGCAGAAAGTTAGTACTATCTAGCTTGTGGAGAACTTGTTGGGGAAGTATCTTGAATTATAGAGTGCCTTAGAAAAGCCAAGACCTAATGGGTTAAGGATTGTGGCATGTTGGAATATGGTGCTCAGGACTAGAAAATTGGTCAGTGCTCTATCTTGCTTTGTGTAGCCTTGGAGAATCTGTACATTTTAATTAAGGGAAAGACTTTGAATTATATAAATAAAAGAAAGTCTAAAATTTAGAACTTTAAGTCTTAGATAGATTTTTTTTTTTTTAAATAGTTGTTCTAATGCAGGGAGTGAGGATTAGGGGCCTTCCTTCCTTGTAGTCTTGTATGGACTTCGTGTGGACCGTAGCCGTCCATCTCATATGCATCAGTGAGGGAAACAAATGGCGTGGAAGGAGCCCAAGGAAAAACGGAACTGGTAACTGCTTTTGTTCAGTTTAGCCAGCATTATCAAATGTCTGTTACATGCTCCTCTGGAATGCCAGCTGCAGTGACTCCAGGTGACAGCCCTGCAGTGCCATGAGTGCCCCATGTTCATTTCTAGATTTCTGAAATGCCTTCAGAGGGCTTTTCTTCCTTGTTTGATGAATAGCACTTGACTTCCTTCTAGCCATACTGATCTTATCAAATGGTCCCTTGGCAGCCTCTCCTAACCATGCTTTTGTATTTCTTTACATGGCTAAGCTGTGAGTTTCCCAAATCTTTGGGTCAGCAGTGGTGTATTGCACAGTATTTAGCCATCCTCCAAAGTGCTGGACCAACACGAGACCATCCCCGGTTTGTGTCTTAGGTCCTTCTCTACATGACGGGCACATGTAGGTCCTCTGGTTTAGGCTGATTGAAGTCAGGTGGTGTGAAGCCCTTGTTGTGATTGCTGTTTCTTTCTTTCATGGAAGAAGTAAGTAAATGAATTAAAGAAAGGAAAGGGGAGGGAAAGGGAAAGGGAAAGGGAAAGGAAAGGAAAGGAAAGGAAAGGAAAGGAAAAGAGAGTTTTCTAATTCTTTTCTCTTTTTTTGAAAGGGAGATTTTTGCTATAGAGCGTGTGTGCTCACCAGAAAGACAGAAGCGAGAAGTCACCTCCCACCATAGCCATGCCACAATCCCTTCTTCTCCATTCTCCTCTTGAAATTTTGGGCGTGCATGCACATGTGCCTGGTGTGAGTTTAAACTGCTGGGTCCAGGACTTAATCTGTGGTCAACTATGTGGGAGTTGAGTGATGTAACTATTATGCCATTTGCTGATTCTGGGAGTTTTCCAGTTCTTTATGTTTTAGTTCTCTTTTAATTATAAATTCTGTTTTACATTCTGAATGCTTTGCTCATTGTACTTTTTTTTTCTTCTAAATATCATCTGCTCATAACATTTCTGCTCGCTTGTATTACTTTTAAGTTCTGTGTTCCATAAAGGCCTTGGACACAGACATAATTCAGCCAAACTCTTTGCCACTTATAACAAGGATGGCTTTTCCTTGAGTTTTTCATATTTTCTCTTGTCTCCATCAGAATGGAGATGCTCATCAGAATGGCCTTTATTAGTCTCTATTATTACTGTTCATGACCATGTAAGCCCTAAGTAGTTTCATAAAAAATCCTTACATATCTTCTCTTTGTCTGAGCCCTCACTATCTAATCACCATTAATGCTTATTTATGGCAGTCTAGACATTTTTTAGCTTGTTCCTCGAAACTTTTTTAGCCTCTACCCTATTGTACAGTTCCAAAGCCACTTCCATGTTTTCAGGTATTTCTTAAAACATCATCCCATTTTGCTGGTTCCACTTTTGGTCTTAGACTGGTTTTGCAGCTATAATGTAATGCCAGAGATGGATAATTTATTATGCACTAAATTTATGGCTCACAGTTTGGGAGGCTAGGAATTCATAATGTCAAGTTGTTGGTGTCTGGTAAAGGCCTTCTTGCTATTCTATCAAATATCAGAAGGTGAGAGGGTGGGAGAGAGTCAGGGGTTTGAATTGGCCCCTTCCTAATAGCACCAGATTTATCCATGGAGGTAGGGCCCCTCATGGATTAATCATCTTTAAAAGTCCCAACTGTTGTTGTGATGGAAATTACATTTATTTTTCCTAAAGGAACGTATTTTTTTTTTTAAATTTTCAGTTTAATTTCACATTTTACTTAAAGGTCCCCATCATGATGTATACAAAATAAGTGTTGTTTTTTCAACAGAGAACCTTACATTGTTCTGTCAAACATTTGCTCCCTTTGCATCTCACTGACCCTCCAACACTCTCTCTCTCTCTCTGGTCCACTCTCCCCTCCTACAGTCTCTAACATCCACACCCATCCTCTTCACATCACATCTTCAGATCTTCCACTGTAGAGTGCAGACACTCGGTACTAATTGAGTGTGGATATACAGTCTGCATCTTTCAAAGTCTGGTTTACTTCGTTCAACATTGAATCTACTATATGCATCGACTTTGAGTCAAATGATAGTTCTCTTTGTTGTAGTTGAATAATACTCCATAACATATACGTGCCATAGTTTTTCAATGCAGCCATAAGTTTTGGACAGTTAGGTTGGTTCCATGTTTTAGTAATTGTGAATAGTGCTGCAATACACATGGATGTGCTAGTGTCTTTCTGATTGAGTGTTTCTTATCCTTTGGGTAAGGCGTGGGATTGATTACTAGGTCATATGGTAGTTCTGTTTGTAGGTTTTTGAGGAACTTCCATATTGTTTTCCACAGAGATTATAATGGAAATTTAATCTTCAGCATGAATTTCAGAGGCAACAAACATCAAACCATAGTAGACATGGACCAAATATCATTTTTTACCAGTAATTTCTGAAAAGTATTCATGTAAATAACATGAAGGTAAATAATGGAAATATTTTTTAATTCCTTGAGAGAGATATAAAGAGAGTAGGAGAAAGCAGGAGGTGCTTTTCTGAAGCATGGTCATGCGGCAATCCCTTCTCCATTTTTCTACCTTCTTAGAATTGGAGGCATGCCGCTGGGACTGGATTTGAGCTGTGGTTGGCCGTATAGGATCCAACTCAACCACTAAGCCATGGAGCTGGCCCTGGGAATTTTGTCATATTGGCGAAACTAAAACTGAGAAATTCTTTATATATAAATAAAGATATATATAAAATATATATATCTATTCAGGTCTTTCAGGCTAAGCTATATGAAGCTCTATAAAATGATTTGTGGCCATCTTATAAATATAACAGCTATGTCAGGATTCATTTATAGGCAGGGGGG